CGCCCCGCGCCCTCCTCCTGCGACTGCTTCGTCGCTCTCCCTCCAGCCACCGCCTCCCGGGCCGTGATCTTCGGCAAAAATTCAGACCGGCCTAGAGATGAGGTCCAGGAAGTCGTCTATCTCCCTGCTGCAACCTATGTCAGGGGGGCAAAACTCAAGGTGAGCAGATGATGTGCCGGGGGGGGGGGGGGACCCAGTTCTGGGCGGAGGAGATGGGGATCTGAGCCCCTGTATTAAGGAGAGGGAGCCCCCTTTGTTGAAGGTCCACAACCCAGGCGTGTGTGCTTTCTCTCCCCTGCCCTCCTAGTGCACGTACATAGAGGTTGAGCAGGTAGAGAGGACCCACGCGGTGATCCTGAGCCGCCCGGCCTGGCTGTGGGGCGCCGAGATGGGAGCCAATGAGCATGGCGTCTGCATTGGGAACGAAGGGGTGTGGACCAAGGAGCCTGTTGGGGAGGAGGAGGCCCTGCTGGGCATGGACTTGGTCAGGTGAGAGTTGCCGGGCGTGGGAGACAGGTGCTATGGAGTGTTGCCACCCCCTGATCAGCTGGACGGGTTGAGTCCAACCCCCTCCGTTGGGCGGTGATCTGATATTTTGAACTGCCCGGCTCCGTCCTGTGGCAGCTGCCCGCTGCCCGCACTTGTTTGCCCCCCCCCCCGGTAGTTCTCCGGATGTGCTGGGGCGATCCTCTGGGCTTGTGCCTGGAGAGGGGAAGAGCGCAGATCCAGGTCTCCCCCCACCACCCCCTCTCCAAAGCTGCTCTGTTTGCCGCAGGCTGGGTTTGGAGAGAGGCAGGTCGGCTCATGAAGCCCTGCAGGCCATCACGGCTTTGCTGGAGCGCTACGGCCAGGGCGGCAGCTGCAAGGAGGAGCCGACCCCTTTCGTTTATCACAACACCTTCCTGCTGGCGGACCGCACCGAAGCCTGGGTGCTGGAGACAGCCGGCCGGTACTGGGCAGCCCAGAGGATCAGAGGTGAGCAGTGAGAATACCCGGGGAGGCGGAAGTCCTGCATCGTGGGGAGTAAGGGAGCTCGGTTACTGCAGTCCCAGCGGGAGGTGCTGTGTGGGAGCTGCTAGTCCAGTCTCAGCAGGGATGTTGTCTGCACAGGGATGGATGAAAGAAAAGTCCTACTGAGAGCTGATCTGGGACGTAGGGGACTGGACAGCTCAGATAAACGTGGAGCCTTTCACCTCTTGCCGACCAGTTCTAGTCCAGCCGAGGCTGCTGCTTACCGAACTTTGTTCCCATCTGCTGCCTTTGGCGGCCGGTGTGATGAGTTTGGTGGGTTTCAGCCCAGTTTGCATCACAGCCATCCCCAGCCTCCTCGTTTGTGATGCCAGCAAACAGGCCAAGGATTGAGCAGGCCACGGCGATTTGACTCTTATGCTCACTCCTAGAGAGGTGTCTCTCTGGGTCAGGCGGTTTCCCGGACCCTTGCCTTGCTCCTGCCTCTGCTGTATTGGTGGATGGAGGTGTCAGATCTTGGGAAGGACCCAGGCTGGCAGCCTTCATGGCTACATTCCCACTGGTACAATCCCTTTTAATCAAAGCCATGTCTTGTTGCAGAAGGGACCCGGAATATCTCCAACCAGTTGAGCATCGGCACGGAGATCACCGCCGAGCACGCGGGGCTGAGACGCCACGCCCAGAGCCAGGGCTGGTGGAGCGGGGATGGGGAGTTCAACTTCACCAAGGTCTTCTCTCTGACCCACCAGCCCGTGCGGATGGAGGCGGCTAAGGCCCGGTACTGCGCTGGCAAGGAGTTACTGCAGCAGCACGCAGGTGGGTGCAGGGGATGGGGCTGTGCCAATGTGGTGTCTCATCCCGTTACCATCCACGTGAAGGATCAAAGCCAGACTCCTGGCTGCTCAGTGTCTCCCTGGCCAATGGGATGGGAGCAGTTGGTTGACGGGGCAGCACCTAGCAATCAGGAGAGGCGTCTCTCTGGGTCATCCAGCAACCACTTGGTCTCATCTCATTGGCCACAAATATGGTGACCTAAGCTGCTGCTGGTCGATGGGGAGCACGAACTGGTCCCCCTCCCCGTGGTTACGTACCCATTGATCTTCCAGCTCTTTCCCCCTGATGTTGCTAGGCCGCATCACGGCGGAGACCATCATGGCCATCCTGCGGGACAAGGCCAGTGGGATCTGCGTGGACTCGGAGGGCTTCCGCACCACGGGGAGCATGGTGTCCATCCTCCCCCAGGACCCCGCCTTGCCCTGCGTGCATTTCTTCACGGCCACGCCCGACCCCTCCAGGTCAGTACCAGTGCTGCCTAAGGGGCCTGCCGTGCTTGGAAAGCCCCAGGCTCCCGGCTGTCGGAGGAGGCTGGGAGAAGCCAGGGTGGGAAAATTAAACAGGCCTGTCGTGTCTAAGGGGCTGAGGGGCCTCAACCACCAGCAACTTCCCTGAGGACGCTTGGCCTGTGGCAGGATCGGGCCCTTTGTTTGCACATTAACATCACGAGAGCCCTTGCCCAGTAGCAGTAGAACCATCTGCCGAGTGCCCATTGCAGATGTCCGAGGGGGATCGCGGGTGGAGACTGACCTGGGATTGGTTCAGTGAGAATCCAGGGCTCAGCCCACGGGAAGTCCCTGGGAGCTCAGGGATCGAGGCTTCAATGGGGAACCCGACAGCGACCCAGCCGAGTCACCTTCACTGCCCGAATAGCATCTGGCCCCATTGCCCCTCTGCTGGGTCGGTGCCTGGGGCGCCCCCGCTCACCTGCAGAGCAGGCGTTTGGTTTGAACCCTGGCAGTGCTAGGGTCCTGCTGTTTGCTTCCCCGGTGGGCAGGAGCTGGGCAGGAGGCAGATTCCCGGCAACCTCTGGCCGAAACCCACTTTGCCGGGGAACGTCTCAGCAAGGATGTTGTGGGGCAGTAGAGACACCCTAACAGTCTCTGTGCCCCCTCTCCTGCCCGGGCAGGTCCATATTCAAGCCCTTCATCTTCGTCGCCAACGTGACTCCGGTCCTACAGGCGATGTCTCCGAGCTTCGGTGACAAGGACCCCGTCCAGAAGGTCCCTCGATTTCAGAGCAGAGTTGATCGGAGACACCAGCTCTACCGGGCACATCAGGCAGCACTTGATCTCATGGAGACTAACCAGGTAACTGAATGCCCTGAGCTTGTACCCTGGGGTTCTGCTTCCCTCTCAAATGCTGAGCAAGGCTTCTGATGGCCTCGCCTGGCACTAACTCCCTATCACCCCAGCCCTGGGAGCTTTCCCAGGGGCTCTGGGGTTCTCTCTTGGGAGCCAGTTGGGCTGCAGAGTTTCCAGCAGTACAGTGGGAGGATTGGGGTTGGGCTGTCTGAGATCAGTGGGGTGTTTCTGGGAGGTGGAGAGGATGGAACTAGACTCTGGACTCACTCCGGATCTACACCATCCCCATAAGTAGCGGCTTAGGCTGTATGTGTCTCTACATCTCTCTCTTCTCCACTGACCCTGTCCCACAGGAGCAGGGCCAGAAGCTCCAGCAGACCATGCAAGATCTGGAGAGGCAGGGCCTGGAGGCCATGAAGGAAATGCTGGCCAGTGGTATCACCCTGGAGCCGGCGGAGCTGGCTGACCTCTTGTTTGACTGTGTGGACACAGAAATCAAGTTCTACAAATAAGCCTGAGGCAGGTGGGTTTCGAGGGGGGGGGGGGGTAGGGGAAGGAGAAAGATGCTGCAGAGTTCATGGATTGTGGGCTGCACCCCTCTGATCTCTATGGGGATCCCTTGATTTTGCCTGGTGCCCCCTGACTGCAGGTCCGTTTTGGGGTATTGTCTGCACTGGTTTCCTTGTCTCCATGCAACACTGGCTGCCCCCGTGTCTCTGTGCTCATTAATATCCCCGTCCTAGGCAGAGCCGCTCTGGGCCGCGGCCTGGAATGAAATGGAGCAAAGGCTCCAGTGTGGCATTGTATCCACATGGCCCAGTAGCCACGTGAAGGGCACAACGTTGTGGTCTAATACCTGTCCCTAAGGGGACGGTCTGTGTGCCACTGACTGGGAGAGCGTCAGCCTGGAACAGGCCCATTTATTTATGGGATTGAGGAAGCCGGTCACAGATGGGTTACACTGATCAGTCACTGGGATGTCGTCGCCCTCTTGGGAACCTGACGCTCCTTCATCCTTAACAGAGATATATGGCCCATAGAAACTACAGGGTCCACTATGCAACATAACTGGGTTGCTCAAAGCAAGGCAGAGCATTGCATTCTGGGGCGTGTGGTCTTCTTGTGCTGCACCCTCAGAAAGAGGAGAATAGGTGTGGCTGAGCCATGGTCCACCTTCTGGCTACCCCCTCCCGCTGGTGAAAGGACACCCCCTCCCACTTGGTTTGTTTCAGAGCCCTGCCTGCCCTACCCTGTCTGGAGGTTGCTCTGTTCGCTTCTCTCCCCTGCTTTCCTTTCAGCGGGGAGCATTTCAAAGGCACAGGAGAACCTTAATTCCCGCTGCTGCTGCCGCCCCGTCTGCTCCGATCCTGATTCCTAACCTCACATCCGATCGCTGCCGTTCTCTCCGGCTGCGTGAACTGGACGGGAAGTGGCTTTGCGCCACCGGGATTATTGCTCTGGCATGGTGCCCTCTCTGGACCCTCCGCCTGGCATTGCCCAGCCTGTAGCTGTGGACAGCCCTCGGGAACGGGCGGGCGCCTGCCACTCCTTTCCTAGCACGAGTTGTCACTCCCCGGAAGAGTCCAGAGCTCCAGCGGAGGCTTCAGCAGCTTGAACAGGCCTGAGCTCCGTGGGACCGGGAAGGGGAGAGCCTCAGCTAGCTAGATGGAGCTGAATTTGGTGGCTGGGTTACCAGGGCCCACCTTGCTTCTTCCTAAGAGGAAACACGGCCTAATGGTTAGAGCACAGAACAGCTGGGTTCTCTGACTCACCTAGGGACCTCGTTCGAGTCACTTTCCCCACCTATGTATCCTGTACAGAGCTGGAATGCTGTGCAGGGCTAGCCCCACCCCCGCCAGGGAACGCAGGACAGAAGCCCACAGGCAGACAGACTGAGGTGGAATAAAGTGGTTTTATGTTTCAATCACTAGCGCCACTGTGCTATTTTGTCCGGGCCGGCGCAGTCAGCGGGGGCTGGCTGGGCGTCAGTCACTTCTTTGCTGCTCTGGCTGCAGTTTTAACTGTGGTGGAAGCCTCCCCTTTCGGGGGCTTGAGGCGGGCCCCGCTCCCGCGCTTGCTCTGCCTGCCAGTGCGTGGGGTGCCAGACCTCGCAGAGCCTCCTGCCTTCGGTAGAGAAAGCAGCCGAGATCCCGACTTGGGGTTGGGGTGCGGCTCACGCAGCCCAGGGGCTGGCGATCTCCCTCCTGCAGCTCCCTCCTCCGCTGGGCTAGGTGCCAGGCGGCCCTCCCGGCTTCCTGGGCACAGATCTCCTGGCGGCTGCATCAGTCTCTGTCGCTCTGTGAGCTCCTCCAGCCGGGCCTGGTGTTCGCTCAGCGCCTCCTGCCTCCTCCTCTGTGAGCGGCCAGCCAGCTCCTGGCGGAGACCCGCAAAGAACTCTGCGGGGGGAGAGTGGGAAAAGTTAGAGCGGTCCCCCTCTGCAGCCAGCAGACCAGTGGGGCAGGCTCATTAAACTGGCTCCTGTGTGTTACGGCACAGGGTCCCCCTGGTGGTGATATGGGAACATGGTGTGTGTAGCCCTCAGCTAGGATCCCAAGGAGTGCTGCAGAGCAGAGGGTTTTCCCCCATCTTTGGAAGGGGAGGACTGTCAGATCGGCCCCTTTCACCAGCACTGGTATTCACGCACACAGCCCAACCCTGTTGTCAGGCCTGTGCAAATCCAGGTGCAGGTGACTTCATCTGAATTTACTCGTGTACCAAGAACAGAATCTGGTCATATAGCTGATAGCAGCAGCTTGATCACCTTTGTCTGCACAGAAAGGACCAGTCAGCTCAGGGACATCATCATCATCTTCCTCAGAGTCACTGTCATCAGAAGCTCCCTCCTCTTCCTCCTCCTCCGCTGGGTCAGGGTCCCTCCAGCTGGGGATAAGCTGGGTGTCCAACTTCATGAGATGGGGCAAGGCCCCGAGCACCAACTCTCTGGAAGGACCAAAAAGATATTGTGCCTTCCAACGCCGAGGATCCTAAAGTGCTTTGACCACACAAACACACGCTGGCTCATGCTAAGTGTTGCTGCAATGCAGCTACCTCTGGGGTGGAACACAGCAGTGAACAGGGATAACTCGATATAACAGCTTTGGGCAGAAAGTGCCAATTCTGCTATCCAGTTGAAATTGCAGATGGGGAAGAATTTAGGGAGGCCGAAGGGAATTACCCAAGTTGGCGTTTAGGGACGACACCCATTTAATATCCTGGGCTCCTGCAAAATACGCCATGGGGTCTTTAGTGACCTGGAGAGGGTAAGATGGAGATATAGCCCCTCCTAGCACCACCATGAGGCACGGGGTCAGAACTGACATGGGAAATAATGTGCCACCACCTCCCCCAGCTCTGACGTGGGAGCTGCTATAGGGGGCAGGCCTCAACAGCTGGCCACTGCTGGGGAAGCCTTTAAAGATCTCACCTTGCTGGAAGGCAGAGCAGCAGACGGCACAAACACAAAAATGACACAACAATAAGCCAACAAAAAACAACTCACGGAAGGAAGGAGCCGCTCACCAGTTGTCGCCACTCAATCCTGGGCTTGTTCATTACCTCCCTTGCCCCTGCATCTTGGTACGGGGGAACCCTTTGGGGGCACAGTCTTGCCCGCCACTCTGGCCCACATGCTCCGAGGCATTTAGGCTCCAGACTTCCATTGATTTCAGTGGCAGTTTGGAGCCTATCTAAATAACCCCACTCCTTGTGATGCTTAAGTGTATCCTTAGAGGGTCTCCCATTGAAGGTACAGAGCTAGCCTGAGCCAGTTTAGCAACACCCAGCCTGCACTGGAGATACTTGTGTAAGAGAAGCAGGATTAGGTGCTTGGGTCCAGGTCCTCCGAGGTAATTAGGTGCTTAACACCCACTGGAGTGATCTTTGAGGAGCTGGGCTTTAGTTCTCGCCCGTGAGACTCAGAGGAGGGGAGATTGCGTGCACTCTCTCTCACCTGTAGCCATTTTGGTGGGTGCACCTGTTTCCCGATAAGTTCAGGATGCGGAGGGTCCGGGGCAGCTCATCTGCACAGACCAAAGGGAAGAAAGAAGGTGAGGGAGCAAATCTGAGCTCTGACTGCTAAGTAAGTGGATGAGTGGATAGGCTGCAGGTCCACTGAAACCCCTCCACCCCTCTCTGCTCTGAGTACTTTACAAGCATTAATGAAGCCTCACAATACCTCTTGGAGGTAGGAGAGTATCAATTTCCTTTCACAGCGGGGAAAACTGAGGCACGGGGGTGACTTTCTCAAAATCACACCGCGATTGTGTGATAGAACCCAGGAGTCCTGATTCCCAGTATCCTGCAACTACATCGTTAAGCTTTAAAAACCCACGTTCCCTTGCTCATTTCTCCCTGCCACAAACTAGAGGCCGATCTGCACGTGATTTTCCCACATCGGTGCATATTACTAGAGGTCTGCTCTGGACGGAAGAGACAAATTGTAGAATAGCTTTCTGCCCGGAGAGTGTTTCATTCCGCACTTCGCCCTGGGAACACCCAGATGGATTTGTCATTAATCTGCGTATAGTTTTGTTTTTGAAAAGCAGAGCGCATGGGAAGTGGCTACTGTGCCTAAGAGTTAGAAGGTCACACTATTGGCCATGGCCGTCCCTTATCTGCTTCCTGCCCAAATGAAACTGAAAAGAAACTTTAAGCTCTGATTCAGCAAAGTATGTGTTCAGGGTCATTGAAGTCCATGGGACTTAAAACACATGCTTTGGTGCTCTGCTGAATCAGAGCTTTAACGAGGACACTGTAGTTTCATGGAAAAACGTGACGGCCTATTGGGCTGTAGCTTAGAAACCCGGCCAAGGACAGACTACGTCGTAGGACTTTGGAATGTGATGTCGCATGTTAGCTGGATTCACAACAGCATAAAGAATTCTTCACTCGAACACACAGTTCTTGCTTTTTAAAGAAACTGCTCTTTTGGCAGGAGACACACGCGCGAGCTCCCTGGCCAATCGGCATGTGTTTTTCCCACATCGGTGCGTATCCCTGCTCGTGTTGTTGGTGCACAAAAGAGGGAGTTAACCGAAGGCAAGACAAGAATGGTTGCTGCTCTCGCAGAGGAGGAAAATATTTGTCAAACGGAAAAGAGACTCGTTAGGGAAAGAAATGGGAGTGTGGTCTAGTGATTAAAGCAGGGCACTTGAGATCAGAACTCCTGGGTCCTAGTCTCAAGTCAGGGAAGGACGGTAGTCTAGTGGTTAGCACAGGGCACTGGTAAGCAGAGCTCCTCAATCCTATGCCCAAGTCTGGGAGGGGGGGGTGCATTAGTGGTTAGAACAGGGTAGCAGTAATCAGGGTGGGAGTCTTGGTTTATTCCTGCTTTGGCACCTTGGCTGGACAAGGCTAGGGATGTGCCCAGTGATTGAGATGGGGCCGCCCTCAAAGCACGTTAAGAGCAATGAGGAATAGGCAGGAGAAGGCACAGAAGAGCAGCCAACTGCGTGTGTCTGAGCCTGTCCAGCAGAGACTGCTGCATGTACCGCTCCTACCATGGTCCAGTGTCTCGATCCGGTTCTGCGACAGGTCCAGGAACTGCAGTTGTTGCAGGTCCCGGAGGTTCTCCACTACCCGGACGCGGTTCCCAGCCAGTGAGAGAAACCTGCAGGGCAGGAGGGGTGGGGTGGGGTGGAAGCTGTGTCAGTGAATGCAAAGGGGAACCACAGAGGCTGGGGACTTCCGCAGCGGGGACTCTATCTGATCAAACCTGTATTGTGCTCTTGTGCGAGGTGAGACAGAGCTTGTGCTGATCTCAAAGGACCTGCTCCAATTCATGCTGAAGTCAATGGCAAAACTGCCGTTGACTTCAGTGGGAATGAAAGGGGGCCAAAAGACAGGGACAGTCGTGTCACTAAAGCAGAAGCATTTACTTTGGATTTGTGCCCGAAAACTTAAAACCGGAGGGCAAAGTCCTGTGTGCCAGAGAACCGGGGCCAAGTTCTTAAGGTTACACTGCCATGAGGCTGCTGATGTCACTAACTACACTCAATCCTCACTCCTCCCTGAGGAAAAGCCGGTGTTCTCTTCTGATTGCCACACCCGCGTTTGGGAAATTCATCCCCCCACTACAGCTGCAGTGCAACGGCTGCTGTTAATGACACGATTCACTGTACAGAGAGCGTGTGTAAAGAACCCTACTTACCGGAGGTTGGGAAGGCAGCTGAGATTCTCAATGGTCTCAATTTGGTTCTGAAAAATGAAATGATTTCTTGACTAAACGAAAACGAACAATGGCACGTCACGTGTTCGCAGCGCTGAACAAATATTAACTAGACCTGGGAGTTCCCCCGACAGCTGGGCAAGTATTATTTTACAGATGAGGGAAACTGAGGTAGTGAAAGACTTGTTCAAGGTCACAAAGCAAATAAGGGGCAAGGCTGAGATTATAACGCAGAACTCCCCGAGTCGTAGTCCTGTGTTGGCTCTTCCACAGCATGCTTCCTTCTGGGAAACAGTTCTCAGATTTATAAGGAGCAGGGGTGGGGGGAAATACAAAGGAAAGAATAACTTGCCAAAAATCAGACTATGGGAGCAGACTCTCCAGTCAGGACAATAAGGCCTGAAACACACACGTGAGGTGGCCGAGTGTTAATCAGGTTAGATTTGCCCAGCTTCCCGAACAAGGAACCTTTACATAGGAATCACTCAGCCCCTGCAAGCCTTTACGTGCATGTGTAGCTTTCCTCAGAAGAATTCTTCCGTTGGCCCAGCACTGTCTACACCAGGGATTAGGTCGGCATAGCTACATCTCCTAGGGGGTGGATTTTTCACACCTCAGAGAGACGAAGCTAAGCCGATGTAAGATCCCAGTGCAGACCAGCCCCAAGACCCCAATCCTGCAATCAGAGCTGCACAAATGGATCCCCAAATCAATGGGATCTGCAGGGGGCTGCATGCAGGGATCCCATTGCAGGCGTGGGGCCTGTACATGTACATGGTCTTAGCTCGACTTGCCAGATGGCTGAAGCCAGAGCCCCAGTCCGTTATTTATTAATCCAAAGGGAGCTCTTTTAAAGGTCAATTTAAAAGGCAGATTTTTAAAACCTGAAATGTTCTTATCGGTGTAACTTAGATGGTTAAATTCCTGATTCTTCTTCCATAGCTTAAATAATCGAAAGCAAAAGAGTTAAAGATCAGATTTGCTTTTCCTTGGTTTTAGGTCATTTGTTTATTTTTTGTGGCCACTTGTCTCTCAGAGTGGAAGGCCCCTAGTCATTGTGACTTTTGTTAATTGTGTCTTTCAGGATATATTCACTTTCTGGCTCTCAACGCCTGGCACAAGGCTGTGATGGTTAGGTGGCCGTTGCTGTAGGGAAATGTTTAAATCAAAACACAAAACCGTGTTCAGAGATTTTTTTTTTATATCTCAAACTTTTCTATTAATAGTACATACTTAAAAAAAATAAAATCTGGGCCTAACACACCTGCCATTGTCTCTGTTTCTCACCCTCGGGGTGTCCCTCCCCAACACAAAGCATTCTCAAGAAACTGCTTGCAGAGGAAAGAGTCTGATCTTATTTCAAAGCCAAAGTATGTTCTTGCTTATAGTGGAATTTACTGTGGTGGGCGAAGTTTGGCTGCTGTGAAAAACCAGAGCTCATCTCCAGGGGGTGCTATCTCCCAGCCTGAGAGACAGATCATGTTAAAGAGCATGCTAAGCGCTTTACCTCTTGCAGGTAGAGACTGCGGACCTCTCTCAGACCCTGCAGGTTGCTGATAGCGCAAATGTTCTCCCTGTCCAAGCGGATGGTGAGCAGCGACGCTAAGGCCTTGGATCTACGGAGAAAGGCGTTCAGAACAATTTTGTGTAGCCATATTGTGGGTGTTGCTGGAATCCAAGAGCAAAGGAGATCCTTCCGAGAGCCCCTCCACAATGAAGGATCGCAGACTGCTGGGAGAGCAATCTTCAGTTCCCTTTAATAAAGCTACAACTTTATTTTCAATCACAGACCTGCTGGGTCGTGGCAGGAGCAAAGCAACCAGATGCGCTTAGTAAAGCTGTATTATCATCTGTAAAATGAGGATAATAATACTGACATCCTTTGAAAAATCCTTTGCGATCTACTGCCGAAAAGTGCTATGTAAGGGCTAGGGAGTATCATTACATCTCCCTTTCCATCTGCTAGGTTCTAGGGTGCCCACCCATCCCTCATTTCAAGGGACTCCCCTTCTTTGATCCCTGACATCCCATTTCAGCAGCGATCAGACACTCACATGCTCTCTGGGGTCTCTTTTTCTGCAGGGCAGGACAGGTTTCTCTGGGCGATGAGAGAGTCAGTGATGCTCCTCCCTTCCTCTGCGGGGCTCTGCTGAAGGTCTGGAAGCAAACACAGGGATCCACATTCACTCAGGGCCCCTGATCCTGCTCTCAGCAATGTCAATGGGAGTTTGGCCTTGGACTGCATTGGGAGCAGGCCTTGGTTAATCACAGTGAAAAACTCCTGACAGTGCTATATATTGGGGGGGGGGGTTCCACCCTGACCCCCCCATCTTCATCTCTGCATGCAACCTCCTCTCACCCGCAGCCCCACCTCGAGGGCAACGGTGCTCTGCTGCAGTGGGAGATCCCATTGCACGGATCACTCACCCCTGGGCATGGCCTCTGGCAGGTTCGCCAGCCTGGAGAGGGAAGGGACACGTGGCCCCTGTACCCCAGTCCCCAACTCAGCTGGCCACAGTCATAGGAATGGGGATGTGAGGATGAGGGGGGAGAGCTGCTCAGGGTAACTCTGCCACTCTGTGTGAAGGCAGGGCTGAGGGGACAGGGACCCGAGATAGGAGCCTCCAGGAAGGGGTTGGGGGGTAGAGCCTGGGCTGGGGGGATCCCCAGGGACTGGGGGGGCAGAGGGGGA